GATATGTAGGGGAGACAGACCCACAGAAAATGGCAACGGGGTGTGCACTGTGTTCTAGTGAAAGTCTGGAATGAGGGCTTTGTAGAGCCCAGAGAGAGTTGTGGCTTCCGCCTGGTGAAAAATTATCTGGAGAAGGGGGCGTTGGAGCTGGGGACTGAAGGGTGGGTAGGTGTGCACTTGTCATAGAGGACGAAGGGCATTCCCGGAGAAGGGATAGCATAACCAAAGGCTCAGCGTCATGGTATACATGGAAAGAGGTAGAGTTTGGTGGAGCTGAGGGAAGAGTGGACAAAGATGCTGGAGATGACAGTGGAACAGTTCATGTAGGGCCTTGAATGCCAGGCCGAGAAGGCTGGATGTTATCCCACAGGCCATACGAAGACATTTAAGACTTTGGGGCAGGTTTGCAATTCAGGTTAGTCACTCTGGCCACAGCATGGAGGGCAAATTGGAGAGGGACAAGACTGGAAATGAGTGATGAGATGACCATAATCACTACTTATCCCTGATGGTTGAAATTTCACCATGAGAGATGCTTTTCTTTGACTTATAACTTCTTATTCTCCCAGGGAAAGCAAACAGATGTGGAAAGAATACGCTAGTAAATCCTCCTTAATCAGTGAACTTTAATATAAGTGAGTTTATTTGTTCTTTTCTGAGAGCCTATTCTAAAGTACTGCTTCTTAAACTTCAGTGAGCATACAAATCACCTGAGCATTTTGTTAAAATGTAGATTCTGATTTAGTAAGTCTGGGATGGGGCCTGAGATTCTATATTTCTAAAAAGTTCCCAGGTGATGCTGATCATTCTCCAAAGTTCTGAAAGGTGTTAAATTAGCCATAACTCAAATTGGCTTTAGCAGAAAAAAGAATCAATCAACTGAGCACATAATTAAAAAGTTGAGGAGGTAGACTTCAGGCATGGCTGGATCTAGGGACCCAGACGATGTTATCAGGAAATAATTTCTCAGGTCTGACTTCCTTTGTGTTGGCTTCATTCTCAAGCAGGCTTTCCCCAAATGGTAGCAGAGATGATCACCATTAGCTCCAAGCTTACATCCTACCAGCTTAGCAGGAAAGAGTGCCTCGTTCTCAAAAGTGCCAGTAACCTGGCTTGCATCGTATGACCAACTACTGTGGCCAGGGGATAGACCACTCTGACTGGCCAGGGTGTGGATGAGTGATAGGGGGAGGCTTATCCCACCTCCCTTGGTCTAGTGGTGGTGGTCACATAACCTATAGGGGGTAGAGGAAACGCTAGAGGGAAACTGGGGTTCCTGTTCCTTACCTTGTAAATCTCGCCCCATAGGGGGGCCTTCTCAGAGGTAATCCTGGCAGAAGATAAGAGGACGCAGAAGCTGGTGGCCATCAAATGCATTGCCAAGAAGGCCCTGGAGGGCAAGGAGGGCAGCATGGAGAATGAGATCGCTGTCCTGCACAAGTACGTAGGCTACAGCCTGTCCCTGCCCCAGGCCGACCCTGCCTTGACCCTCCCACCCTCCTCCTTCCCTGCTTTGGACAAATTATTTAAACTCTCTGAACCTCAAGTTGCTCATTTGTAAAATGGGGATAATAATTTCTACTTGGCAAGGTTGTGGGGACATTAGAGGTCCTGTATTTCAAGTGCCTGGGACAAGGGCAAACGTGACAGATGTGATTGAGATGCCAGTGCTTATTCACAGCATTTTAATCTGTTCAATCAGGTCTCAAGGTCAATCTTTGAACATGGCTGGTACCTACATATCTCAGCCGGTGTTATCTCTGGACCTACCTCAAGTGCCCCCCACATATTAATGCCATTCAGCAAGTTTAAAAGTGCCTGTTCGCTGACCCCCTGACTAAGTCAAC